TTCATCTACGGGCCTATCAGTATAACATAACTCCTGTTTTTTCCCAACAAAACCATACAAATCTTTCGACCACATCCCTTGTTATTCTTTTTTTTGTTTTGTTTTTCCATTTACTTTTATTAGTTGGAGGCTAATTACTTTACAATATTGTAGTGGTTTTTGCCATACATTGACATGAATCAGCCATGGATTTACATGTGTCCCCCATCTTATAGATCTTTAGAAGTAAAATTATTTGCCAAGGGGTGTAACTTCTAAAATGTATTTGGTCTCTATTACCAAAATATCTTCCCATAAACTTTATACCAGTTTACAATCCACCCTCAGCACATGAATGTTCACATATTGGCCAGGATTTATAATTGTCACTTATTAGTATTTTTAATGATTTAATAGGTGAAAGTGGAATCATTTTGGCTCAAACGCATATTTTTATAATTTCATTGGTTATTTTCTTATTTTGTGAATTATCCATTGATTAATATTACAGATTTCTTATTGCTTTCTTATTTTCTTTATAGGAAAATGTTTATATGTCTGACATATTTATATGTCAAAAATATTTATTTTTACTTTTCCAGTATTCATTTGGCTTCTAGTTCTGAGTTTTCATTAGCAGCTTCTAATTTTGTAATTCTCTATCTTTCCCCTTATGAATTCTTTCACTCCTTAAAACCCCTGTAGACCATCAATAAAACTTTTCTGATCTCAAAATCCAAGTGATCACCAAATACTGTAACTCTTCTCCTACAACACTCTTGATTGTCTTTCTTTCTATATTCAAGCTACCAATTCAAGCTGGCATGATCTGCTTTCTGTTTTAACAGCTCCCTACCTACATTCCCAATCTCTAGACTCACACTCTTAATCCATTCTCACAAGTCACTACTTTGCTTAAAATTCTTCAATGGCCTCCATTTCTGTCAGGATAAAATCCAAATTGTTGACAAGGCTTACAAGTCTGTACCCTCCGGTCTTCTTTCTTCCCAATCCCCATGCTTCACTCAAACTCTACTTTCAGCTAGACCAGGGAATTTAGTCACTCAGTCGTACCTGCCTTTTTGTGAACCGATGGACCGTAGCCTGCCAGGCTCCTCTACCCATGGAATTTTCCAGGCAAGGGTACTGGAGTGGGTTGCATTTCCTCCTCCAGCAGATCTTCCCCACCCAGGGGTTGAACTCAGGTCTCCTGCATTGCAGGTAGTTGCTTTACCATCTGAGCTACTGCTAGACTAAGTCATTCCACTTCCTGAGGGCTCCATCCTTTTCATCACCTTGATGCTGTTGCTCACTCTACGGTTTTTGCCTAAAGCATTCTTTCTGAACCTCTCTTCACCCTTACTCTGCTTTCAGGAAAGACTTTTCAGGTCACACGTTACATATCCTCCTAGAGGCATTCAGTGATGCCATCACAACCTGTCTGTACCTCTCCACCTCTCCAGGCTGAGTTAAGAGGCTTACTAAGAGTGTTCACAAGGCAAAGAGTACCTCTCCATAACAACATTAGCATACAGACTGCTTGTTTGCGTGGCTGAATAGTTTGTCTCCATCTCCAACACACACACACACCTTGTAAATCTAAGGGTTGTAACCAAGACCATTTTCTCTACAGTTGTGTTTCCAAATATTATTATTGTATCTGGCACATAATCAATTCTAGAGGAACATTTGCTGCAAAAATGAGATTAATAAATATTTACACATTTTCTTCTAATTAAAAAATATATTTTATTGTTACATAGAAACTCTAATCTATATGGATTTACTTTGATAATACCTTTCCCACTGATACATGATTTTTCCTTTGTCACATAAAAAATTTCTTATATATTCAAGAATGTGCTTCACGGCTGTCTCTTCTGTTCCATAGATCTAACATTAGTTTCTTGCAACAGAAATAAACTACTTAGTTATTGTCTTTTTATAATATGTTTTAATGTTTAATGCAAGCACCCCTCACTAATTTCCCTTGTAGAAATTCTATCAGCTATTCTAATTTATTAATTTCTTAAGATAAACATTAAAATTATTTTCTTTGATTTCAAAACAAATATTCTATTAACACTTTTGATTGGAACTGCATGAATCCTATAAAATCGTTTGAGAAGAGCTGACATTGATGACATTCAATCTGTTCATCCAGGAATCTACTCAGAGATGTTTTTTCTCAACAAAGTTTAGGCCTTATAGTAAACTTCTCTGATTTTCTTAATCTAGGTCCCACATTTTTTGTGCAGAAATTTTTTCTCCATGTTTTACATCTCTTTGTGTTCTTGTGAAAGACTGCATAAGTCGTATTATCTTATTATACAAATATGTGCATAATTAAGTAGGAACCCTAAATTTTATTTTTATTCGCTGGTACTGTGAGGTAAGTATGATCATACAAGTGACACTTGGTCAAAGTGGGGTCATAATTAAATCCAATTAAATCCAATCCATAATTAAATCCAGCCTCCTGTAGATTCCTTTCAAATGTTTACTTAATAACGAGAGAGAGAACACTGGGAAAGATGAGGGAGGAAGGTAAGGCTGCAGGGAGGCGTTTTCTCCAAAATATTTAAAATTAGTTCTTGATGTGGGTGTACTATGCGTATCCTGTGGCTTCTGAGAATTTTCTGGAATACTGTCACAGTTTCCTGGGATGGGTGTATTCTAGTTAAAAAAGTATGTTCTATATGATTTATTACTTTCTCCCAGAAGGTTCCATTAAAAGGAGACTTAATCACATTTTAGGCCAAGGAAACTTGGGTCTAGAAACAGAGAATAAATTATTTAGGTGCTTAGAGCTCTCAAGTATACAATTACAATGAGTTCAGAACTAGAAGTAAGTCAGTTGTTGTTTAATGGATAGCTAAAGCACTCTTCCATTTAACAATCACAGTAAAAGGATGATTCATATCTTTAAAGTTTAGCAAGTAACATAAACACAAATCTAATAAATATAGCTGTTATTTGACAGAGTATTCATTTAAGGAAGGGCCTTCACCAAATTCTAAAATCACATGGATTTTTTTTTACAATGGACTAGAAATCCTTAAGAAATATATTTGATAAAGAGTTTTGATTCAAAAGTAAACTTCAAGCAACTACAGACACGTTTCCAGTAATTAATACACAAAACCCTTATTTCAAAGTTCTCAGCAAGAGAAACATGATCAACCAATAGCCTAGAAGCAGGATAATGTCAGAAGACAAACTGTGGGACCAGCAAAATTTTCCCATGGACCACTGGCTGGTGAATGAGTCTATCACATCCCTCTTGAAGAGTGCTTGGAGTCGACGCCCAAATCATAGGGTCGCTATCAGTGAAAATTGCTTAAGTTGACTGCTTAGTTAACTATATACAGTTCATTCCACAGTCTGGGCTTTGTCATTCAAAACATCTACTCTTTGTTGACAAAGTCCCCAGGAAAATGAATCTCTCAGCTATTTCAGTCAAAATTCTAGCAGCTAGAGGAGTCAACCAGGTGAGCAGCACCTACAGACTGGCAGCCAAGGAGAGGCTGGCTCTGAGTGAGTGTATCACAACCTGCAACCTACCTACAACCTACATGTGCATACTACATCATCTTCTTATAGGGGGCTGACTGCTCCAGTTGCAAATTTATGTCAATTGGCTCTAAGATTTCACGAAGCTAAAATTTTAATAAAATTCCTGGCCTTTTATCTGCATTCTAGGTCTACTCTGACATTCAGAATCAACCAAATGTTTTACTAAAATTTTTATTGATATAATCTCACAGTTTTCTCAAATTGATTTTCCTAGTACTTTAGTTCTGGAAGACAGCAAATATCACAAGGACCATTTGTGCATTATAAACTGTGGAAGAGAAAGCTGGTTTTAAATCTGATCACGTTTCATGACAAAATTATAATCCACAAATGCGACAGATTAGCTTTCTGATGGTTATAAATGTTTGAAAACCAATTATGAAATTCCTCAGTAACCTTTGAGCACTGAACTCTAAATGCCCCTGAGATGGCAGGTGACCTGCTCAGCAATGGAAAGTGATGGAAGCTCTAGAATTCAAGTCTGAGGGAGATGTGCTGCGGGAAGCACCTTTCTGAAGGAAAGAGAAGTCTTGTTCTAAGTGTGATTAGCGCCTAGGTTTGATTACCACAGCTCTGAGTTTCGAATGGAAAGAGTGGAGAAAACACACTGGTCAGACAAATCAGCTTAACTATTAGTTATAAAGGAAAGCCTGGCTAAAATAACTTTTCTATTCTTATCTAAGGACTTCTAAAACTGGTTTTTCAGGACTAGGATTTGAATAGACATTGAAAATTGCCCCCATGTACATTGATCAATTTGTAAATTGGAACTCAGGATATAACATAATCAAGTTGGCAAAATGCACACAAACGAATCTCTATGGGAAACTGCATACCACCCTGTGACCAGTTAATCCCGCCCTGCTTTATTCCTTGGTGCGTTCACTCAATAAACGTGGTTTTCTTACTTGGAGAGGACAGGGTGGTGGGCTAGCCCTCTCACATAGCTCAGGGACTGACTTGCAGTGTTTTCAGCAATCAAGAAAAACAAATAAGACTTCTTATCTATAAAACAGTAGAGCTCACCATTTCAGCAAAAGTGTCATCTGTGAAGACAAGGAGCTCCTTTTAAAAAAGGTTTTTATAGTCTCTTGAGAAAATAAACCAGCAAATGCTGGTCCCTCGACTTAAAGAATTTACTATCCTTCTGTGTGACCAGATTCGCCAACTGACAGCTCCCACATGAAAACAAATAGGCTTTCACTTCTCTGCTGCCAGAAATGTGTAAAATTGTGGAGAATTTCAAAGCAACGCCATCTAAAATCACAACAAGGAGCAGCAGAGCTGTGGACAAGCAGAGCAGCCAGTGGGAAGCTGTCAAAATTTCACTGGAAAGAAGACCAAGTTAAGAGAGTAAGTTCTAATCTTAACCACTTGCAAAGGAAACAGAGAAAGTGATGCAATAAAGCAGATATCTTTACCTTTGCAAACATAATTCAACTTACCTGTCTTGGGCAGAAAACCGGGACTTTCTGTCTAAACAACCTGCAGTGATTTCCCCCAGGTGATCCGGCTGAGACTCCGAATGAGTACGTGGGGTTTACTGAAAGCAGTTTCCACCTCCGCCTGCCTGCGTTAATGAACAGTTCAGAGGCTTCTCCTTCAGTGGCTGAGTCACCCAGGGAGGGGGTGGGTGGTATGAGAGAGGGTGTCACCTTGTACAAATACCAATTCAATTAAACCAGCTCACTCACCGACCTGCTGTCTGTCTGGTGAATTCTTTCTGCAATTTATGGCCTTGGTAGACCAAAAATATGTACTTCTGTTATCACCCTTTTAATTGGCATCAACCCTACATACAACTCTACCCTGACCAGGTGCCGTAGTATCCAACCTATTTTGGATTCTCTTTTAAAAAACAAAACACAAAACTTAAGCTGGGAGGGACCTCTTCTCTGCCCATGGTGCCTGGAAGACTGGGGCCCAGATACACACACAGGAAATGCACTGCTGGTTGGAATCAAGATCCTTAGGAGTGAAGAGTCCTTTGAAAGCCTGAGATCAGGAAATAGGAAAGGAATCTGTTACACAAATTCTGCACGTAGGAATTCTGGTTAAACGATCAGAGGAAAAATACATCCTGAAGTAAATGTAAGAATTCTGATCGTTTTGTGATTTCACCACCTATAAAAATGTGAAAAGCATCCTAGAAACTTCTTTCTCATCTGAGAGCAGCGGTAGACACCTGCTTGGAGAGCAAGGAATGCTAAAGAGGAACCACAGTAGGTGGGGACTCCTATTACAGGTTCTGAAATGTACCTTCCGTGACAGCCAGGAGTCTTTGAAGAAGCTTAGTGAATCTGGAACACTGCTGAGAGGAAGGAGTCATTAGAATTTCCTGGGTCATCTCTATTCATCTGCCACACCAGTAATTAACCAAATCCTCCCCATTTCAAGACAGCTCCTGAAAAACCACAGTCCAGGGGAGCTACAGTCATAGAAGTGACTATAAGAAGATACAGAAACAGTCCCATTAGAAGGTTCAGGCAATTGCAGGATGCAGTCTTTATGGACTGGGACATCACTATCTTAATGTGCCCTTATTCTGGGTTGAGGATTTGAACATTTAAAATGGACAACAAGGACTTCCCTGGCCATCCAATGGTTGAAACTCCATGCTTCCAATGCAGGGGACAGGGATTCGGTCCCTAGCCATGGAGCTGAAATCTTACATGCCATGTGGCTGAGCCAAAAATTTTTTAAAAAAATAAAGTCAAATGGAAAATGTTCTCTAAAGGTTATATATATATATATATATATATATATGGTGGTGGTGGTGGTTTAGTCGGTAAGTTGTGTCTGACTCCTGGGACCCCATGGACTGTAGCCCCCTAGGCTCCTCTGTACGTGGGATTCTCCAGGCAGGAATACTAGAGAGGGTCGCCATTTTCTTTTCCAATGTATATATGTATATCTATATTCCCTGGTGGTTCAGATGGTAAAGAATCTGGCTGCAACCCAGGTTTGATCCCTAGGTCGGGAAGATCCCCTGGAGAAGGAAATGGCTACCCACTCCAGTATTCTTGCCTGGAGAATCCCCATGGACAGAGGAGCCTGGTGGGCTACAGTCCATGGGGTCGTAAAGAGTTGGACATGACTGAGCAACTAACACTTTGACTTGAGATAGATAGATAGATACACATACATATATGTATATATATACATGTTTATTCAGTGCTTTCACAGAATTTTATATCTGAAAGTCATTTTAGAAATATATTTTAAATTTCTGTGAGGCCCACAAGTATTGGTTGGATTGAGGTTTGGATATTAATATTACAGATGAGAAAGTTGAAAAACCGAGACGTGACTTGGCTCATCTCAAAAAATAAGTATTTTAGAAATATTATATTCAGGATCATTCAGTATTCATTTAGCTGAATGAAGGGCTAAAACAGTTTCAGAGTTAGCTTGTAGGGACAAGTAATATGTTACAGAATGCTTAAATGTATGTTTTCATCCTTTGTATAATATAGAAACAGAAAATAATTTTCTACTTTACAATGAAGTAAAATATACCACCCAAGATACATTAAAGATTTTGAGCTTCCAAACAATCATTTTTGCATGGAATTGAGGATTTTTATTATTAAAATTGGTTGATTATTATTTTATTATTCTTTTATTTTACATACTAGAACCTATACTACTAAGTCACATCCGTGTCTTTCCATTTAGAACTAAGTCTTTGATTCAAAAAAGGGCTAATTCTAAACACTTGGGTAAAATTCAGACTTCCTCATTGCTGAACAGACATTCAGGCAAAAGACTGCTGAAAATTAAGAATCTCAAAGTTCAAAGATGTCATCAAGAATGTGCCCAGGCGTGGAGGAGGTCAAATAGGTTTAGCCTTAGTTTCACTCAGGCTTTGGGGAGCTTCAAACATGCTTAGAATAACTCAGCTTTACCACGCCTAGTTCACTGTGAGAGGCAGAGTTCTTGAGGCCTCTAGAACATAAGCTCCTAGGATGGGATGGCAAATGTTTTATCCAGGTTGCCAATGGCGACTGCTTGGCACTGGCTGTCTGGGGTGATACAGTGAGGTTTGTAAGGTGACTTTGAACTTACATAGAAGACTTCTTTGTGGCATGCCCTGTAGTGTCTGACTCTTTGTGACCCCATGGGCTGTAACCCAACAGTCTCCTCCGTCCATGGGATTCTCCAGGCAAGAATACTGGAGTGGGTTGCCATTTCCTTCTCCAGGGGATCTTTCCGACCCAGGGATCGAACCTGCAACCCTTGTCTCCTGCATTGGCAGGCAGATCCTTTACCACTAGCGCCACCTGGGAAGCCCCACATGGGGAGAGCCACAATTGATTAGCAGTGGCCGCCACAGGTCTCATATGGGGGAATGTTTGCTGAACCTATTGCCTGAAACAGGACAGTGCTTTTTCTACGCGTTGTATTCCAGTGAAACAAAGAGCCAAAAAATGAGCACTTATTACTACATTATAAGGAAAGTAGCAAATACTTATATAACACTGTTCGTGCGCCAGGCATTGTCTTAAGAACTTGCCATACATTCATTTAAGAATTGCTAATGTTATGTGCCAGCCTGAATGGAAGGAGGGGGCTTGGGGGAGAATGGATACATTTATATGTATGGCTGAGTCCCTTTGCTGTTCACTTGATGCTACTATAATATTTTTTAATTAATTAATTTTTTACTGAAGGATATTGATTTACAGAATTTTGTTGTTTTCTGTCAAACCTCAACATGAATCGCCATAGGTATACATATATCCCCTCCCTTTTGAACCTGCCTCCCATCTCCCTCCCCATCCCACTCCTCTAGGTTGATACAGAGTCCCTGTTTGAGTTTCCTAAGCCATACATCATAGTCCCATTGGCTATCTATTTCACATATGGTGATGTTAGCTTCCATGTTACTCTCTCCATACATCTCACCCTCTCCTCCTCTCTCCCTAAGTCCATAAGTCTATTCTCTATGTCTGTTTCTCCACTGTTTCCCTGTAAGTAAATTCTTCAGTACCATTTTTCTAGATTCCATATATATGTTTTAGAATTTGGTATTTATCTTTCTCTTTCTGACACACTTCACTCTGTATAATACGTTCTAGGTTCATCACCTCATTAGAACTGGCTTAAATGTGTTCCTTTTTATGGCTGAGTAATATTCCATTGTGTATATGTACCACAACTTCCTTATCCATTCGTCTGTCAATGGACATCTACGTTGCTTCCATGTTCTAGCTATTGTAAATAGTGCTGCAATGAACAATGGGATACATGTGTCTCTCAATTTTTATTTCCTCAGGGTATATGCCTAGGAGTGGAATTGCTGTGTCATGTGGTGGTTTTATTCCTAGTTTTTTAAGGAATCTCCATATCATCTTCCATAGGGGTGTATCAATTTACATTCTCACCAACAGTGCAAGAATGTTCCCTTTTCTCCACACCCTTTCCAGCATTTATTGTTTGTGCATTTTTGATGAGGGCCATTCTGACTGGTGTAAGGTGATATCTCATTGTAGTTTCAATTTGCATTTCTCTAATAATGGGCAATGTTGTATAATACAGTTAATTGACTATACCCTCAATACTAATTAAAAAGTTTAAAGTAAAAAAAAATAAGAGTTGCTATGAAAAATCCTTACCTCCTCCTGGTGAATGTTCGTGTCCTCTCAAAACTCATATGTGAAATCCTAACCTGCAAAGATCATAGTGCTGGGAAGTGGGGCATTTGGGAGGTACTTAGGTCATGAGGGTGGAGCCTTCATGAATGGGATCATTGTTCTTATAAAAGAGATCCCACTCCCCAGAGCTTACTAGCCGCCCCCCCCACCACCATTAAGGACACATTAAGAAGATGGAGGCTATGAACCATGAAGAGGGGCCTCACCCCACCATGCTGGCAGCCTAATCTCAGACTTCCCAGCCTCCTGGAAGAATCAAATTCCTGTTGTTTCTGAACTACCAGGTCTGTGTAATTTTGTTTTAGCCACCTGAACAGACTAAGATACGTTCTCATCCCAGAGAGATTCAAAAAGTGATACTGAAAATGCAAAAGAAAAATATAAACCGAACAATCAGCAACTCAAAGCTCTCACATCTGTCATGCAGGGACTCTGAGAGGCTGAAAGATAGAGGGCTTCCCACTTTCCTCCCAGATGGAGAAAAGAAATGTTATGTACATGTTGCAACAAAGGCGGTATCATTAGAGTGATAATTACAGTGCCAATTTCTCTTGGGCTGGGAGTAGACAGATGCCAGAATTAATGAATTACTGCCTTACTGCCAGTGTTGCAAGAGCAAGTACATTGCTTAATAGGCACTGGTAGTGCCAGCATGATACAAACCCACCTCGGAGAGCCCAGCAGAGACCCTGTGGGAGCCTGGGTGCCATCACCTGTGCAGACCCACTGCTCGCTGTGGACAGTCACTTCACTCTCAGCTCCATGTCTTTCTTAGTGCAAGGATTAGGATGACCTCAATCTCTTTACCACCCGGACAGGGTGCATTGAAGAAACCAGGTTTATTTAATCACAAATCCATACCTGCACTTAACACACAACACTGGGAGGACCCAAAAGGGCTC